GGATATTGGTAATGGCTTTTGGGATGTTTGTGATGGATTTTGGTAATAAATTTTGGTTTTGGGATGATTCCATAAAAAACTACTTTCGTAAACTGCTGCTCAGGTTAAATGGATATGGATTGAAGGTTGAAATGGAATGTTTGTATCTTTGTATGAAATGAAATGTGTTGTTGAAGATGAATTTTATACGGAATATTTGTATCTTTGTATGTCATAAACTTCATTGCAAAAAATTCTTAACATATTACATTAACAAAAAGGAAACCAATGCATCCTTTCAATTCCATTTCATTACATACTACAACAAGAAAGAAACCAATGCATCCTTTCACTTCTATTTTATTAAATACAACAATAAGAAAGAAACCAATACAGCCCCAGTCAATATTCTGCTCATTCTTTGAATTTTGGCATTTTCCTCTTCCAATTTATGAATCTTCCTCAGGATCCCAGGTATCACCACCACGTGGGTACATTTGAAGATCATACCACTCCCAAAGCTAACATCATTTCTGTCTTCTTCCCTGCATTAACCCACATATACCAAATATCAATTTTTCTTGTCCAGCAAACCACCCACAACCGTGACATATTATGTTTCTTACCTTTTTTGACTTTGGGCACACTTTGAATCTTCGACCTGGGTTTGCATCAATCTATGAAGTCATCATCACTACCATCTTTCCACAGTGACAATGGGCACCATGCTTTGCTGGTCTGATGTCCATCTTTTTCTTCGATTCACCCAACAACCCCAACAACTTCACTTGATGTCGACTTCAATTTGAGCTACGAACACCAAAATTTTAGGGTTATGTGACTTCAATTTTATAAAATAATTCGAATAAGAGAACTCAAGCGCTAACTGTTTAATAAGTTAATACAATACTAAATACTCGGTTTAGCCCACTTCATAATATCATTTCATATTAATTAATAATGTATTCATTCATTACAATCATAATTGTCCTTGATTTTATATTATAAATTGGTTAAATATTAATATCATCATCTACACTATTAAAGACTCAAAACTTAATAATTTATATTGCAACAGAGAGAAGAAATACAAACAAACAAACAAACAAAAAAATCATAAATCCCAATATTAAAGTACACTACTCAAACATGTAAAAAATGAGGGGAAAAAATCACAAAGCTTAAGCTTAAGTTAAACAAAAGAGGAAGAGAAAGAGAAGAATAAAAACTTAGGAGTTTTTAGTGTAAATATCATAACCTAACCTAGTAGATTTAATTGAAAGTAGAAGAGTGATAAAGAAGTTTAATGGTCAATTGGTGGACAAAAAGAACCTAATATATTGTTGATTTAAGAGTAAATATCCCAAATATAATAAAATATAGTATATTATAATATATAAATGTAAGGGGTAAACAGATTGAGGGGGGGCTCTGGGACCACACTAGTCCCTACATGGCTCTGTCCCTGCATGGAAGGCTATGCATGCATGGGTGGGAAATCTCATTATCCTTTTTCAAGTAAATTGCAAACCCATGTGATTAAAAATTCAATAATTATCAATAATTATTGCCATCGGGTTCTACCCTAGTGTGTGTATGAGAAATCTTCATCCCCTTATAGTTTAGACTATGGTTTGTATTAAAAAAAATTAAAAAATCAAGGCAAAAAGTCACTTTTGGTCTATGTAGTTTATCACTTTTATCGCTAAGGTCCCTATAGTTTCAATTTGATCAATTTTGTCCTTATAATTTAAATTCCAAGCAATTCATCCTCTATTTCTGTCAAATTCTAAGGGGCATTTCAGTCTAATCTTGCAACCCCACCCTAACCACCCCATATCAACCCCTCCCCAACCACCTCATCCCATCCCTCCTCCCTCTCCCAACCCAACCTCTTCCTCCTAACTCAACCTACTCCCAACCTTACAGCCATGACCCGACCACCCTCACAAACCACCTTATCCCCTCCCTTGTCCCCTTCGTGACCCAACATTATGCTAAGATCAAAAATTACTTTTAGCCAAAAATCAATAATTATGAGAGAGATGCTTACATTTGTGATATGTAAGTTTTTCAGGATAGTGCACACTCCAAAAGTTTGGTACATGAATAACATGCAAGGGTGCTGAAACAATAAATAATGATGACAGGCAAAGAAAAATGGTAGGTAAGTTTTTCTTGATGATGGGCTCAAGAAAAATTGAAGAATAACGTGGTGAGATTAAGGGCATGTTTGGTATCCTACTTGGATATAATTTTATAAATTTAAAAACAGATTTTAAGTCCAAAGCTATAAAAACCGTTTGATAGACCCATTTTTTAAAACTCAAAAACACCCACATTATTAAAAACAAAAGGGAAATTTGCATAAATACCACCTAAACTTTCAGGTATGTGCGTCATTACCACCTGAACTTTTAATTTTTATTTTCAACTACCTGAACTTTGTAAAGTGTTGCAATCCACCACCTACGTCTAACTCCGTTAAAATTTTCGTTAAGTTTAAGGGTATTCGTCAATTAACTATAACAAAGAATAATTATATATTAAAAAAAGAATTAAAAATACAAAAAAATAAAGCTAACCTCCATATCTCTCTCTCTTCTGTCTACTCCATCTTCTTTATTCCACCAAATATCATATCAGATTGTAATGATCCATTGATTTTGTTGCCTTCCTATATTTCCTTTTTTTTTTCTTTTCTTTTGGCCAAAGCCTTCCTGCATTCATTTTGTGGCTTGCACTATTTGTTCAAAGGCTTGTCCTTCATTTCAATGGAAGTTTGCATATCGAAAAAAAAAATTTCAGACTACAATTACTCTATCTCATCCTTAATCTAGCAAATTCAAAAAATTTAACATCAAAGCTAGAATTTAAATTTTGTAACTTCATCATGGGTTTTGGGAAGGAATCAATTGCATTCTTAGTATATATAAATATCCCAAAAAGGTCCTAAACATCTGCAGAGAGTGGGTTTTGGGAGATGCCAACAACCCACACAAGAGATGCCAAGAGACAAAAAGATGAATATAGAGTATGGTGTGTGCAGGGAGTGGGTTTTGGGAGGGTGGGTTTTTTTTGCAGTGGAGAGAATCGACGTTGGAAAAGTTGGAAAAGTAGGAGTAGGGTAGGGTGAGGGCGTTGTAATTAGGTTAATCTTTTTTTAAAATCTGTTTTTTATATAATTATTCTTTGTTATAGTTAATTGACGAATATACCCTTAAACTTAACGGAAATTTTAACGGAGTTAGACGTAGATGGTGGATTGCAACACTTTACAAAGTTCAGGTGGTTAAAAATAAAAATAAAAAGTTCAGGTGGTAATGATGCACATACCTGAAAGTTCATGTGGTATTTATGCAAATTTCTCAAAACAAAACAAAAAAGTGAAGTTTTATATTCTCTCTCTCTCTCTCTCTCTCTCTCTCTCTCTCTCTCCTTTTCTTTTGTTAATTTCAATTTGGGAATCTAGGGTTTTTTATTTCTGATTTTAATTTCAATTTTTTTAATCTTAAAAATAGTTTGGATTTCAACACCAAACAAGTTTTTAGATCTTAAAATCACTATTTAAAAACTCATATTTTTAAAAAGAATCATAATTTTTTAATTTACATTTTTGAGTAAGATACTAAACACCATCTGAGGCATCCCTAGTCCCTTTGACTGCATCGTACAATTAGGCTTAGTTGAAATGGAAGATATGACTCCAGAAGCTCGTGGAAATGGCTGACTAGGACTGCTCCACATAATCTCTTCACCGTCGTTATGAAAATTAACGGGTTCTCTCCCGTATTCTAGTACTTTTGAGTCTCTCCCTTTTTCCATCGTGGCTTAAGATTCTACACTCTCTCTCTCTCTCTCTCTCTCTCTCTCTCTCTACCAAACATTATCAAGATATTTGATAATCACTACCAACTTCCGAAAATTAACTTGTTCAATTTTTATTTCTTGAGTTCTTTTGTCAACACTATTGCAATTTTGGTAGAGTCTGTAACATTGGAACTGCGTACAACCTTTGTATTAACAATTTCCTATGACAAAATGCTCTTTGTAGGATCACGTTCTAACATACGCTTAGCAGCATGTTGACTGTTTTGTTGGGACAACTTTGGCCTGATCCTTTGGATGAATTAACATGAAGTACATGAGTACAGCTTATCAAGTACATGAGTTTCATACAAATCTGTCATCTTTGTCAAGTCAGTAACCCGACAATCAATCCTAGTGATGGATCGATCAATCGTTGCCTCAATGACCTTCATTAGCAAATTCTGAGAATCACAATCCGATCGTTCCATGTTAATGATAGGTTTCTGAAGACAGCTTCAGTAGACATCATATCATGTCTTTGTTAAAGACCATTCGTCCTGATATTCTTTGTAGGTACCTCATTCTTTCTGAGGCCGATGAGTTTGTGCCAGTGACAGATTTATTGCAGCACAATTAGGGTGCATGACTCTTCTATAAATAGAAAGGGATGCTCAGTAATAACCCAAGCTTGAACATTAGTCGTACGGTATTCAATTCAGTGCTCTAATGCTACTTAATTGAGTGAGCATGAGAATTGTAGCTCAATAAGCTCTAGTCTTAGCTTGCATGTGTAATTGAAAACGATGATCTTGAGCAAATCTTAATAACTATGTTTATAGATCAAGGATTCATCTTTATTACTCTGCGAGTTCCATTTAGTGTTTAATTGATCGCAGTTCGAGCTAAAAGGATTAGATTCAGCTGGTATTTTTGGCTATCTAGTTGATTCTAAGGGTGGTCTTCAACATATTTTGGTTTTCATTTGGGTTTAATCTGTGTCAAGGCATGGAAAAACAACTTTGGCCGAGTGCATTTTAAGCAAACACCTCCTCAAGATTATGCCAATTACAAGAATTTAGCATGCTGGCTCGACATGGTTACCGTAGGAATTGAATAGATATAGACAATCCTCTGTTTTCCAATTTCTATATATGCAATATATTTATCTAGGGAAGACTATCCATGGTTAGTCAACTTAAAGGGTTGTGCAAGATAAAGTCCATAAAAAACGTGAATCTTATTAGGTTTCATAAATATAACATTAAAACTGAAAATGAGGACGGCGAAACCTATGATGCATCTGAAGCTGGTACAAGATAAATGATGTTGGAAACTATTGGAGGCACATTATCTGTATCAGGAATTTGCAGAACTAATAAACAAAGGTCTTCTGTCTGCACAAACAATGAAAAAAAAGGCTTTCTGAAAAACTATAAAAATGCTGCCTCTAAGAATGCAGCATTGAGGAATCTTTATGTTAAACGTTTCTTACTTACAAATTATGGACCAACTATATATAATCATGGCTAAAAATGAGTTTAAAGAGACTGGTCAGTGTAAGAATGCTTACAATCCTTATAATATATGCACCAGATAGTCTATGGTGTCAACTTTTTGTACCTGAAAGCAAGGATACATATGTTATTATTTTGTTCTTTCTCAAGTGAAGTAAGGAAACATAAAGCAGAACAAGCAAACCGAAATCAGGAGGACTTATCAGACAACAGTATCTTGAGCCTACACAAGATAGCGTAGAAATAGTGACATCAGTCATCGGATGAACCACATCAGAAAGGACAACTAAATGTGAAGGCCATAGCCAAGAGTATTGAAACATTGTGATCAAAGTGCTGCCACCTATATATCAAACTTAGCCGATGCTAGTTAACAGTAAAGTGGTGTTAATTCCACCCTATAACAGTTATTTTATAACAAATTTGTCCCTATCTAAAATTACCAAAGAGGATAATTCTTAAAACCTTTAAAATTTGAAATTAACAAAAAAATTGTGGATGTCCAGGCCTTCCCAGGCCATGGCGGCATTGCCATGGAGAATGGTGTAAACATCATTCGCTCTCTTGATTGTAATAGTAATTTCTGAGTTACCACCAAATCCAGAATTAAGCATTCATTTTAACCATTTATTTAGAAACTTTGAATGATCAAGCGGTCTGAGTGTAATAATGATTTGTCTACCCTATACAGAGTATATTAGTCTTATATATGTGTGAAAATTTATAATATTTAAATACAAGAAAAAAGTGTGGTGTGCCACATATAGCATTTCAATATCTTAAAATGGGAAAAACTGTGGCCTTGCTGCTACGGCTATTGCAGCAAGGGCATGGGGCTGCCATGATTAAATAAGTAAGGTAATATGAACTGGCCACGGCAGCTACCAAATATTTTTACTTTTATAAGGTGAGGGTTAGGGTTAAGGCAGAGGGTTAAGGGAAAAGGAAGGAGGTATGGACGGTTTGGGAGAACTGGTGGGCAGGAAGACTAGATTACAGATAATTTTTAATTTCAAAATAAAAGAATTTGTGGGGTGGGCAATTTCATCACTCTTAGCAGCTATTAGTTCATAGCCATGCTTCAGAATCAATCCTTAAAATTACTCAAAGAAATAGAATCCTTTAAGCTGCAGCCTTTCAGAGTGAACCTAAAGGAAAAGAAAAGCTAGAACAATTTGTTAACGTCTGACTTATATAAGTTAGTTTGTTTGGGAAGCTCAGTTAATGTTTATCCAAGCTATCTAAATTCTGAAAAGTAAGAGGGTTGAAAACTTACAAAGAACTATATCATTCCCTCTCGTGTGACTTACATAAGCTGTTCTATGAAGAGATGACTGTCTTTAAGAAATCATCATGAACTAGCTACACAGAGAACAGATATTAAATCCACTCACTCCAATCAATTCTAGATCAACCAATACCTCAAATGTATCACATCATATATTTATTTCTAGTATAATACTTTTCTTTGGCAGGTTCTACCATCGTGTTAGATATAAATGGCATACCATGGTCTGCAGGTAGAACTAACATCAAATAATTGGCCATTATGTTGGCCTCAAGCAGCAAATCATCATTTTACTAATTTTCCTGGATTTACTGTTTGAACGAAAATCAATATGGTTTATCAAATTTTCAGGCTAACTCATGATCACTGCCTGGGTTGTTACCCAAGAATGTATGGGCCGGTCTGGGATCTACTGACTGAGACTATTGAAGGAAGACTGTGAGACTATGCGCATTGACAAAAGCACACCTCAGATAATATAGGTCATTAATAGTCCAGTAAAAATGAGACTGTTGAAGCTCTCCCATCGAAAATAAAATAAAACACTGCATAAGACTAAAATTATTCCAGCTCAGTCTGTAGTCCCGTGTGACAAACTTGACCAAAAACAGTTCTTGTGCATTGTGTAGCCATTACATTGTCAGGTTCCCAGAAGTCAGATTGTTTCTGGCTTTAATTTTGCCTTAATGTAGTTCATTTTGGACTTCTTTCTTAAAAAAATTGATGATAGCTGTCATGGTGGGAAAAATAAAGAAGACAATAAATAGTTGTAACTTATAAGAAAGCAGCAAAAGAACAACCAGAATTGTGGCATCAATAGGAATGATTATAGAGAGTTATCCTTCGACTAGAATACAAGTTGTATGTGTCAACTTACCTTTGGGAGAGTGGAAGAAGCGTCCCCGAAATGCTTCTAAACTTTCACACATAGAACTAGCATTGACACTTAGCCGGCTCTTCATTTCAGATAAATCAACCCCTTTGTCCAAAAGATGTTGTTGCTTAAAGCTAGAGAACCTTCCACTGGCTTCTCTCTGCAGGTTTGTGAAGCAAGGTGCAATGTTGTTCCAACCCTCCCCTGCAATGTTTTTGGAGAAAGGAAGACCACTAGATTGACCAAACCCCAATGCACCACTTCTTGTTGCCATCGCAGCTGGACCCAAAAAAAAGACAAGAAAAAAAAAAGAGAAGCTAAATCTGGATGGGCACTGAAAACTACAGCTTTGAATTTCACCAGGAAAATGAAAACATCCATATCAATAAAGAAAGAGATGTATGTGGTAAGCAATAAATACAAGAAGCAGCACCAATGAAATGGTTCTCACATAAAGAGGCAAAATTACGAAATTAATAATTACCATTATAAGGAACTTGAAGGAGCCAATTTGCAGGAAGACCAATTCCAGCACCAAGCAGAGTGAAACCAACACTAAAACCAACACCACATCCAGCTCCAACATAACCAACCACCTCAGGCCCAAAACCAGGACCCCATCCAATACCACAACCAATTCCTACTCCCAATCCCCAAAATGCTCCAGATGTTGGGTGTACTGGGTTCCATCTTTCATACCTCCTGAACAGTCCTTTTATTATCATTATAGCACCTCAAAATCACTGATGAGTATGGAAATTATTGATAAATTTGGTGGGTATTTCGGAGATTTTGTTTTTTATTTAATTTCTGGGTATTTATGGGTATTTCATCTTCTAGAGGGAGTGAGCTGTGAGATAGGCGAAGGTTCTGCGAGAAGAAGAAAGGCACAGTACACACTTTGAAACCAGGTTAGAATCGTTAGACCCATTAAGCAAAACTAAAAGAATATACTCTCCATTTTTCTTCGTTAATCCTAATACTTAAATCATTATGCTTTTAAGTTTTATTCTTGAATAAAATGACAAAGAGTCATCCAACTTAAAATTTAACCTTAATATATCCAAACACACCCCACTACTGTTCATATTAAGTTTTGAAAAAATACAAATTCCCCTACACCCTACTGAATTTTTATCAAAAATAGCCAAAATTTACCCATTACTTTTAAAAATGTCAGTTTTTATAAAATCTTCCAAATATAGCCAAAAACTCACCTAAATAGTAGGGGTGGGCACTCAAACTTGAGAACCGAAAATTCGAGCCGAACCGCACCAAATCAAACCGGAAAAAAACAGAGTTGCCCAAAAAGTCAACAACCGGTCAAAAACCAAACTGGACTGGTTTGGACCGATTTTGGATATGGTTCCATGTCTTCAAAAACTGGACCGGGCTGAACCAAACCGGTCAAATTAAAAAATATATTATTTCAATTTACATTTATATTTAATGCTATATTTTTAATTTCACCAAAAAAAAAAAAGAACTAATATTTATCCAAGTTCAATTTCAAAATATCTCTCTTTTCTAACTTTAATATTTATTTTTATATGAAATTGAATAATTTGTTAATTTTTAAGTAAAAATAATGATATTTCAGTTGAGAATTGTATTAAAAAATAATTTTTACAATCCGGTTCAAAACCGAACCAGTGCAATCCAAACCGGACAGTTTTTGAATTTTTTTAATTAAAACTGAACCGAACCAAACTGGATGAATAGTATCGAATCGGTTCTAATTTGAGGCAAAAACCGGTCCAATCCAAAACGTGCTCACCCCTACTAAATAGACACAAATGCACTTAAAAATTAAAACCCACATAAACTTAAAAAGTTCCAATATATTTTGAGTCCCAGTTATTGATACATACTTGGTATCTAACTAAAGATTGAGACTTTGAAGAAAATTGATGCCTAAACTCGTAGGTGCCCAACAAAACCATTGTCTCACAGGTGCCTATCCTCTATCATTGAGTCCAGTCCCACGTTGGCCAAATAAGAAAAACATAGAAACTCATTTGCTAAGCAAAGTAATGCTAAAAAAAACAATATTTCTGAGTATGTGGCACTAAAATGGCTTTGGCTATAGATTAAGATCTTCCTAAAACCACTATGATAAAAGAAAGCTCATGTACAAATGGAATTCTGAAAGAAAGCTCATGTGCAAACCAGCTATAGATTAAAATCTTCATAAAACCATTGCGATAAAAGGCGTTGACTTTGCATGGACCATGGCTACTATAAAAGATGGCATTTTAGACCGAAAAATCGAAAAATCGCAAAAATCAACCGACAATTTACCGCAATAGAACCGCAATCGTGGGAAACCAAACCGCATTTGCAGTATGAAGAACCGAACCGCATTTGCGGTTGCAGTATTTGATTTTCAAAACTTGCGGTTACCGCAAACCGCAACTATATTTAAAATAAATAAAAATTTGCATTTTGTAGATAACATTAGTGCTCAAACAACACAATGGGGTCCTTCAAATCCACTCACCACCACCAACACTTGAGTTTGTAACTTTAATTTGTAACATTGGTGCATTGCATTTTCCTTTTAGTTTGTAACTTTAATTAACTTTGAATTGGATTTTTCCTTTGGGTTGTAACTTTAATTCATTTTGCATTGCATTTTCTTTTTGGTTTGTAACTTTAAAGGATTTGGAATTGGAATGCTTGAGAAGTTGAGGTTGTGAATGCTTGAGAAGTTAAACTTTAATTAGAATGCTTGGAATTGTAACTTTAATTTTCTTTAGGTTGTGAATGCTTGAGAAGTTGGGGATGTTGTCAATTTATATATGTTTGAGAAGTTGAGGTTGTGAATTTATATTTTTTGGTTAAAGTATGCTTGAACTCAAAAGGCTTCAAAAGAAGCATCAAAATTAGGCTTAAAATGTGGAAGATTGGATTTTTCTGACACAAAAAGAACTTGTGGTTTTAAACCACTAATTCACGGTAACCGACCGCTTTTTTCGGTTTACCGCAATATGGTAAACCGCAAAACGCGGTCGGTTTGCGGTTTCAAAAATCATCATACCGCAAATAGTCGGTCAGTTTGCGGTTTGGGCAAAAATTCGCGGTTACCGAACCGCAACCACCCCTAGCTAAGAGTGTGAAAAATAATAATAAAAAAAATAAAAACAGAGTAGACCCTTTTAAATGTCTTTAAAAAGTCATCAACGTTTTAGATCTTATGTGCGCAATCCTACGGCCCTTAGATCAGCAGGGACCCACAAATGCAATATCTCTAACCTTATCCTTCTTGTATCCCACTCTGTTTTCTTCTCTTCTTCATGGCCCTTCAAATCCGTCTTTTTTCGAAGGAAATAATAATACCAGAAATCCCCATGCCAAGTTTTTGCTCTTTCTGAACACCAAGGCTTCCATTTCCAAGAGCACTAGCAGAACCAAAGCCCATGGCTGCAATTGCAGGGCTATCTTCATGGTCATCCAAGCCCTCTCCAATTTGTCCCTCGCAACACCAAGCATCATCTAGTAAGGTACCATTAAATAGAACGACTGCAGATTATACTCTCTCTTTTTTTTCTTTTTCTTTTTTTCTGTTTTCAACCATCTGCAGTTCTTGGTTTGTTTTTCTAATGTGCTGAAATGGTGGTATGAACTTGAATTTTGATGCTTCCCTTAGTGAAAGAAGAATAAAAAAAAAACAAGAGTATTGTGTTTGTGTTTCAATAGATGGAAATTGCAGCTTGTTTCAATTGCATTTGAATTATGCAATTGCTCACCTCTTGCTTGCATTTTTTTTTAAAAAAATCCTGCAGATTAGTATTAAGCCTTGGACTTTCTCCATCACCAACAGTCTGAAAGAAATAACAAAAACCCACTACCCAATCTCCACAACAGACCAAAACCATAAGTTTTTTTCTCCCTCCACACACTTAAATGCAACCTTGCGGAGCCCAAGAGGCTTTGGCCCTTCCCCAAAGAAAAAGAAAAAGACCAAGAAGAACACAAACCAAAACAATGACAGCGATGAAGATGAAGATGACGATGCGGACGAGGAAGAGGACGAGCGGGAGGAAGGTGTAATACCGGAGATCGTGACGAACAGGATGATTGGGAGGATGGGGTTCACAGTTGGGGTGCCATTGTTTCTGGGGCTCTTGTTCTTCCCATTCTTCTACTACTTGAAAGTTGGCCTGAAAATAGATGTGCCCACCTGGGTACCCTTCATAGTGTCGTTTGTGTTCTTTGGGACAGCCCTTTTGGGGGTCAGCTATGGGATTGTGTCCTCCAGTTGGGATCCTTTGAGGGAAGGCTCTATCTTGGGTTGGAATGAGGCTCAGAAGAATTGGCCTGTGTTTTGGCAGTCCCTTCGCGGTGGATCTAAAAAGGACTAATTAACAACTTACACTCTTTTCAACAATTTTTCCTCCTATACTAGTAAATTTTGGACCTTTATTTTATTTAGCTTTACTTATTTTTTCCTCTCTTTTTTTTTTAGTTTTTTTTTTCATCAATGTTACTAGCCAAAGCAAATGTAGTAGCACCTCTAGCTTTAGCAAGTTAAACTGAAAACTAATTAAATGATCAGATTATATTATGTATGCTTTCCATACATACATGTTTCCATAACTCATTCCTCCAAAATGAAAGAAGCTAAAAGCAGAAGATAAGAACAGTTAAAAACACAAGTGCACTTCCATCAACAAAGACAGGACCCCTTCACAACTTTGAAAATGGAATCGACGTAAAAACCTAGATACCACTATTTTGGAAATTCAGTTTGACCAGTCTTCAAAGCCCTAGGGAACATTGAAATCTCCTGGCGTAACTCCATCCAGTGTTCTACAGGGAAATTACGAGTATAAATTATCAAGTTATTCAAGACTTCACCATGCTTCAACAAGTGCTTTGCCACTTCCATCTCATCCGGCTGTCCCTTGAATCCCCGTATGCAAATGGTCTTGAGGCATGATGACAAGCAAACAGGTACCCACATTGGCGGACACCATACATGAGGGTACATGGAGTACGAATTCCTTCCCGTAGTAAGCAACAACAGTTCGCGACTTGTAAAGATTATTTAAAATAAACAAGTTAAATTAAACCTCCGAAATTTGCATATTGGTACCAACAACATTTAGCTTTAAGAAGGTATAAATCACAACCTACACTTACAATTTCAAAGACAAGGAGTTTTAGGTGGGGGGATCTCTTGAGCAACTTTGTCAGTAATCTCCAAGAGCAGCGTCTATGAAGAAATAGCTCCAAGTGTATCAAATTAGCAAATGTAGGCAGATGATATTGACGCATTAAGTTAGGATCCTTCGCATAGGATAGACTACAGATCAATCAATGACTAGAGCAACGTCAAATTTTCTCAGCATAATAGATAGAGCATTCCCATTGAAAAATTCCAGCATGTAAAAATGCTATCAGCCACTAAGGAGACAAGTTAGAGCACACTTACTTACCCCCAAAAATTTAGCTGAAAGTGAAAGATCTTTAACTTTGAGAAGTTCGGCGAACAGGTTATGCACAGAGACAGCAGAATCAAGGACATCGTCATCATCAAGGTCCTCAAACCCGTGTAGCGATCCGAAAGTTATCTTGGCTTTGCTCAGGGATTTTTAATTCTTCAAATAATAGGTTGCCAAAACTTCATCCGCGATTTGGAGCATTGATATTAACAAAAATGTCGTACTTATAATCTCTACTAAATGGTTCCAAATAAATCAGCAGGCTCTTTAGTTTCAGTGCGGAGATAATAAATTCTAAATACGAAAATTCTTGAAGTGATCCAACTATAATCAAATCTTCAAGTACAGGGCAACAAGAAATGAGTTTCTCCATTGAGTCAGTATCAGTATGACAGATTGTAAGATGGAGAACCTTGAGACTTGGGAAACAATCTAAGGTGGGAGTGATGGTAACAACTGATAGCAGCCTCAGCTTCAAA